TGCCTAGGTCACAATACAGAATTGGATGCAAAGGGCCTAGTTCCCTATACACATGCATCCCGACAGTAGATAAATAAGGGTATGAGGTAAGACCAATCTCGGGAAATACACCTCGCAAATTTCGGCTCATTCAAACAATGAAGATTCCCTGGACGCCAATATCCAAGGAATAAGCCAAAGGAAACGTTTCAGCTTTCTCAATTTAGCCGACAGGGCTCCAGGGCATAGGAACAAGAATCCGACTCTTCATGGTCTGGATCAAGGGAACAGTCTTGTGAACCGTTTCGGCCCAGCCTTGGACGCTCCACGACTGCTCGCGGCAGATCTTGCGCTCCTCCAAATTGGCAAACTGCCACAGGTGGTGCACCGTGTTTAATTCGCCGATTTGCACGAACCATGCGCCTACACCTTCCATCACTTCGCGACGGGCTTTCAGGCCACGGCGCCAGTGTGTCTCCCACTCCAGAAGATTGCCCGGGTGCAGTGTATACGACCGAAGCTCAAACAGTCCACCGAGGCGGCGAGGCGGGCTCGTGGGCCAGAACGAGAACTCCTGCATCAATGAAGTCTTCTTGCTCTTAATCAGGCTCTTGAGTTTGCCATCAAATTCGCGGAACTCTGGGTGTTCCGAGATGCTGTGAAGAGAGTCGTGGTAGCCTTCGTAGCGTTGGTATTCCCAGATGTGGACTAATTAAGCAAGGAAAGAGTCAGCGCACAGAATGGTTGGGTTATTTGATCGTGATTTACCAAAGGTATCATTGTCGCCCACTTGCGTCCGCCAGCTGCCCACCAGGTTGACACGGTTCTCCTCGGTACGCGCCATGCGAGGGTACCACTGGCCCACCAGATCCACATATTCATCGACCTTGTCGGGCTTCACGTCGTGCATCACGATAGAATGAACGTATTTGCCGCGGGCTAGGACCTCTGAGAAGGAGCGTTCCATATCCTTATCAAAATGCTGGCCCTCCTTGGTGCCGTAGATGAGCGAGGACAAAGGGCCACGTTTGGCCAGACCATCTTGGTGCTGGTCATCCCCTAGATAGCGGTGCGTTGAGAGTGAGCCTAGGCCTTTGTGATCAAGTGGCGTGGCAGCATCGAAAGGGCGGATACTGTCTTGACTGCTCGCATTGCTCACTTGCGGAGCAGTGGGAGCGTACTCACGGAGGGGGGAAGAAGCAGAAGCAGAAGCATTGACAGACTGACTCTCTTGCTTTTCTCTTCTCAAACGAGCCTGTTCTAAGTTCTCGCGGAACTCCTTCTGCCGTCTGAGGTACTCCTCAGTCGACTGGGCTGTAATATCTCGAATAGAGGGAGAACGATAGGCCACAGCTGACGAGCTGAAGGGTCGCAAGAGGGAAGTCACGGATCGCGCTGAGCGGGCTGCGCGTGGAGCCAACATGATGGTATGTGGAAAGAACAACAGAAGAGAGCTTGACAATGAATCCGACGTTGGCAATAAGCTAGGTACAATATAGGATCAAGGGAGCTGGGAGAAGAGGTTTAGGGTGGGAGATATGGAGAAACAAAGTAAAGAGGGGGGAGATAGAAGAGTGGAGAGGTAAGTGCAGGGATTAGGCTGGAGTTACAGGGAGAGGAGTTGAAGAAGGGGGCGATGATCGGGTGGATGTGTACGGAGTACCTTTCGGATCGGAGAGTATGGGAATGTCCAGTACCAGTAATGAAAGCCAGGGAATATTAGCTGAATATCTATAGAATTAACCTGCCCCAGTTGCGAATTGATTACAGTGTGAAACACCCCGAGTCAATCGCAATGCTGTTGAGTCGCTGACTTCAAATGGTTGCAGCTTATGTGCGGGGAGGGAGCTTCCCCAAGTTTTCGGTAGGGGAGTAATTGTGACGAGGGGCGTTGGTACCACTTGGCTCGGTTTACAGCTGATCTCGCGCTAAATGTGGGTAATGATGACATCGGCGAGATGTACTCGATACTATTGGACTTCTGCAGGGATCTGTACATGGATAGCGTACTCATACTCCGCACATCGCCACTTATTATGAGTATTACAGAGCTGTGGACAGTCGTTTTCTTGTACTCGAGCGTAATATCATATAACAATAAGATCCAATATATCTGCCGCTATGACGTTATCTAGTGTCTCCACGCTATTGCACACCTAATCAGTGTATGTTGTACACTGATTGTATACTGCTCTGTGTACACTTGCCTAGTGCTCTCTGCTGTGCCCAATAATAAGCACAGAATAACCAATATCCGTAAATCGGAGCGTAACCTGCAAGCTGCCTGGAAGTTGGAAATCCACAGGCGTGAAGTGATGACGTTGTTGGCCAAACAGTGCCTAAGCACACCGCCCGGTGGGCAGATCTCGATCTTCTCCCGAGGCTCTACCTTCACGATTACCGTTTTTGGTTCTCAAATCTCTAACATGGCCGAATCACTCAACCCCCCGCTGTCTTACGAGGCATCTGCCACCACCACTCATCCCCATGTCGCTACCTCGTTGCCATCCGAGGTCGTCTCGTGCCTTAAGAACTCCCGCTTCGTAAGTATAACACCGTTAAACATATAACCAACCCACCAAGCTAACCTCATATCGCCCAATCAAGCTGCACCTGGCAACATGTGATGATAAAACACCCCACATCTCACTGATGTCCTACACCTATCTCCCCTCGACCCCATACGACCCCCACCCCACCATCATCATGACCACAAACCCCGCATCGCGGAAAACAAACCACTTGCTGTCCAATCCGCGAGTCTCACTGCTGGTCCACGACTGGGTGTCGCATCGCCCACCCACCCGGGCCCCGACGCAAGGTGACCGCGACGGCTCTCCACCACCCGCCGCTACCCGCTCCTCCCTTGCCAGCCTGCTGCTCAACCTGAACACTAGCGCGCTGTCCAGCATCTCGACTACCATTACGGGCGAGGCGCGGTTCTTAGAGCCCGGCTCGGAGGAGGAAGCGTGGTGTAAGGCTCGTCATTTGGAGAATAATACTTTCGAGGAGGAGGAGATCAATCTCTTCGGCCAGCAGCAGCAGCAACAGGATCCCAACGCGAGACGGCCTAGCGTTTCCATTGACACCGATGTGCGACTCGTTACTGTAAGAGTCACCGAGGGTCGCATTGCGGACTGGAAGGGTGGCGTGCGCGACTGGGCTCTGCTTCCTGCTGAGCAAAACTCTGAGCTGGTCAATGGCGTGGCATCTCCATAGTTTGGACTTTAATTTCCATTGGATGAATGAATTAGTGTATAGCAATGGACTTATGAATCCTACCGCATTAGTACTATTCCCCGCCAAACTGTACCATTTGGCTGTTAGATTTAGACCACTCTACGCCAATGTATGATTCCCTTTGCGCTGATTGGTCTAAAATTGTCAGCTTAACAATTGGCTTGGGCTCGCATGTTAGAGGAGGCATATCAACACAAACAGCTGTCGATATGAAATAGTAGAGAATATAGAGGCCATTGGCATGTGCACTTATCAAACCTTATCGGAGCGAGCTCACAGCTTCTCCGCAACAACCGGCCTCGTACTCCGTGGAAAACGCAAACTCTTCTCCAACCTACAATGCGCTGAGAAATCCGATCCTTATATACCGAAAACCTCACCATATCTCACCATCAAAACCCCAAAATGAGACTCGCACACCTCCACCTCCCCCACACAACGCCCTTCAGCCGCGTCTCGCACCTCCAACAAGCCCTCACAACCCGGCTCCTCGCACACAAAAAGCTCACCTCCCCAGGCTCAATATCCTCCCAAGAGCTGAGCAACCCAAGCTCCACCCTATCCAAAACCCCACCCCCGCCCCCAGACCCAACAATCATCACCTTCACCCCAAACCCCGTCTACACGACCGGCCGCCGCGACCTCCCACCCTCAAACACACGCCCGCCCTCCCCAACAGACCCAAACTTCTCCCTCCCCGCACCGCTAGAACCCATCCGCTCCCTCTTCGTCCCGCACGGCACGCATCCCGCAAAGGCAGAGTACCACCCGACCCTCCGCGGCGGACAGACAACCTACCACGGGCCGGGCCAGATGGTCGCATACACGATCCTGGACCTCAAGCGACTGGGCCTCACGCCGCGATGCCACATCCGTGTGTTAGAGAACAGCGTCATCGACCTACTGAAAAGCTACGGGGTGGATGGGTTTACGACGGAAGACCCGGGCGTGTGGGTGAAGCCTGGGCTGGGATCGGGATCGGGATCTGAATCGGATTCGCAGCCGAGGAAGATCACGGCTGTGGGGGTGCATCTGCGTCGCAATATTAGCAGCTTTGGGGTTGGGCTGAATGTTACCGATGAGCCGATGTGGTTCTTTAAGCAGATTGTCGCTTGTGGGCTGGAGGGCAGGGAGGCGACGAGTCTGCAGGGTGTGGGGGTTTCGGGGTTGGAGATTGGGGATGTTGCTGATGCGTTTGTGGAGAAGTTTGTTGGGCGGGTTAATGCGGATTTTGCTGGGAATTCGCTGGGGGAGGGGATTGATGAGGTTTATAGGGTTACGGAGGAGGATTTGATGAACGATACCCGTCTAGTATAGGGCTATGTTTCTGTTGCTTGGGCGTGCGATGCTGTTTGATAGCTCGGCTGTAGAAAATATTGAAACAAAGTACCAAGTCTGCAAAATCTAAGAAAAATTGCATTTGTGTATCGTAATTAAGAGCCAAAAAACCACCTCGCTGAAATGCTCGGAACAGGGAGATCCAGAGCTATGCAATCATGCAATCAACATAGACCAATATCTATGCGGTCTGAATGGAGCAGACATAGTCTGCCCGGAGAAGAAGAAAAAAAAGTCGAAAGCAAGCTCAGAACACCTAATGCATGGGGGAATCAACAAACCCAACCGGGAGAGACGGAGAAACGTGGTGAGAAACAAGAAAAAAAAGCAGATGGCGAAGAAATAGGCCTTTCCAGGATAGATATCCAGCAAATAAACGAAGGCCAATATGGCAGACATAGAGCGATACCATGTGTATCAAAAACAGACCGCAATGCATCACCTCACAGAATGACACAAGACGAGCCAGAGGACGAGCCACTGCCTGCGTTAACAGCAAGAGCAACCTTGGCAGCCTCGTAGAAGCTCTCTCTGATACCGCGATTCTGGACCGCAGAGCACTCTAGAAAGAATGTGAGCCGGGGATCGGATATACATGGATCGAAGAGCACTCACCCAGGTATTTCACAGCGCCAATCTCCTTTGCCTTCGCGAGGCCCTGGTCGAAACTGATGGTATTGGGGTTGTCGTTCATGTCCTCGTCCTTGCGCAGATCGCACTTGAGTGCGGTCAGGACCACGGGGACGCCCGGGCAGTTCTCGTTGATCTCGGCCATCCACTTCGACGCCACGTTCTCGAAGGAGTCAGGGCTGTCGACCTAGTTATCGGAACATGTTAGGTTCTATGCGGGGATGTACAGGGAGGGATTGTCGTACGCTGAAGCAGAGCATGAGCACGTGTGTGTCCTCGTAGGACAGCGCACGCAGTCGGTCGAACTCCTCTTGGCCGGCGGTATCCCATAGCGAGAGCTCCACATGTATGTTGTCGACGAAGATATCTAGGGCATGTGAGTTTCTGGGATCGTGGTCAGAGGAGTAGAGTGAGGTGATTATGTACCATGGACGTAGTTTTCTATATTCCTCCGAGGTTAGCACTGCAGGTTCAGGAGATTCAACTCCGGGGGAATGCGCGCATACCGAAGACTGTAGGCTCGCTGAGCACAGACAATAACCAGAATCAGTAACCTGCACTTGAAATATGCTCCGAAGAAGTAGGATTTCTTACTAGACCGTCGGGAAAAAGCTAATTGTCAAAGTCCGTTAGCATTGCTGTCATCATCGGGGACGGGTGAGGGGGAGATTGCGCACCCACGAGTAAACACATTCAGCGCCGATGTCTTGCCGCAGGCACCATCGCCTCTGGAATAATGTCAGACCAGTCGCCAATAATTAGCGGGGAAATTCCGATCAAAACTAACAGCAGCACCATCTTGCGCTGGACCACCTTCTGCCGGCCGCACAGCTGCATGGCGCCGAGTGATTCAGGAGACTCCCAAGTAAGGAGATGAGGGGGTAATGGGACAGTATGTCCGCGTATTATGCGTTTGGTGCGTGAGGTGGTACGCGTGTGAGAGTTGGGAGAATTAGGTGACAGTAGAAGAGAGAGGTTGTTGTCGGGGGAAGATTCCAGGACTGGCTAAGTCAATGACATCGAGCTGAAGGCTGAGGGATCGGCGAATGGCATCAGCCCCCTTCTGGTCCACCGAGGTTTATTTTTTATTTTGAGATTTGAGATTTGACTGTCAAATGGATCTTTTTATAACTGTTTCATACTATAACTATTGTATGGGTTCTTTGCGCATGTTCCTGGGTGTTTTAGATCTTGAGCGTTATACTCCTACCTTCTAGAAGGGATCGACCTAAAAGACTACCAAGTTGTATACAGCTTAGGGTCTCTTGCTTTTTTCAACAAGTCTGGCTTGGACCTATTCCTACTATGTTAAAGCTCACATTCAATTCGTTTTCAACATGTAGAGAGCCTATTAGGACTACAAATCACATACCAAGCCCCTGACGGTCAAATACAACTATCTAGGTGGAACTCTTAATTTCCTTTTTGCTGTAAATAGCCTGAGTTATCAGCCACGCCTCGTATGCTTGGAATAGTTCGTGTATGTATGTTTGGCACTTGAACCACCAGTAGGTACTCCGTAGATAGGCTGATTCGACGGAGTAGAACAATAAGAAACAAACTATTCAAGCTTAGCATTGAATGAGCATAGACCTATTGAACAAAATCATTATTCAAACACACTGAATACATTGTTCGTATACTGTCAATGCACAATGTGAATACAATTCCAAGTCAGTGCTCACTGTGCTCTCCTCACGATAGTCAAGGCGGAAGCTCGCAGCTGTTATCCGACCGAGCTTCTCCAACACTCCAACCCCACCACTTTGTCCTCTCTATCCTAACCACGCTTCTGCTGTTTTCAAACTATTACACGCCCAAGATGTCAGACGATGATGATTTTATGCAGGACTCTGCGGATGAGGAGTACGGTCCCTTGTTTACTTCACCTACCAGACTAGCTGACCGGAATCACAGTTATGACTTTGAATATGAAGACGCCGACGACGACGATTCCGGTGATATCGGAATTGAGAATAAATACTACAATGCCAAGCAAATCAAGGTCGACAACCCAGAAGAGGCAGTCGACGAGTTCCTAGGCATAGCGCCCATGGAACAAGACAAAGGCGACTGGTAATTGTTGCTTCTGGGCTGATCGCGACAATGCTAACTATGGGATATAGGGGATTCAAAGGTCTTAAGCAGGCTATCAAGCTGGAATTCAAGCTCGGGCGATACAGCGATGTAAGCTCATCTCGCTGATCTAGCTGTATAATACTGACTCCATCTTTTAGACCGTCGCACACTACCGGGAACTGCTCACATACGTCAAATCCGCTGTTACACGAAACTACTCGGAGAAATCGATCAACAATATGCTCGACTTTATCGAGAAAGGATCCGATAATGCAGAGGCGTATCAATGCATGGAGGAGTTTTACTCGTTGACCCTCGAATCGTTCCAAAACACAAACAACGAGCGGCTTTGGCTGAAGACAAATATTAAACTGGCTCGTCTGTGGCTGGAGCGCAAGCAATACGGACAGCTGGCTAAGAAGATGCGGGAATTACACCGTGCGTGCCAACGAGAGGACGGGTCGGATGACACCAGCAAAGGAACATACCTGCTCGAGCTCTACGCGCTGGAGATCCAGATGTCCTCGGAGACGAAGAATAACAAACGACTAAAGGCCTTGTACGAGCGCGCGCTCCGAGTGCGGTCGGCCGTGCCCCATCCCAAGATCATGGGCATTATCCGTGAATGCGGAGGCAAGATGCACATGAGCGAAGAAAACTGGAAGGAGGCACAAAGTGACTTTTTCGAGTCGTTCCGGAACTACGACGAGGCGGGTTCCATGCAACGAATCCAGGTTCTCAAATACCTTGTCTTGACGACTATGCTGATGAAGTCCGACATCAACCCGTTCGATTCTCAAGAGACTAAACCGTACAAGAATGACCCCCGGATTTCCGCAATGACCGATCTGGTGGACGCCTTCCAAAGAGACGACATCCATGCATACGAGGACGTGCTGAGCAAAAATCCCGACGTCCTGGCCGATCCCTTCATTGCGGAGAACATCGACGAGGTGAGCCGCAACATGCGCACCAAGGCAGTCCTCAAATTGATTGCGCCTTACACGCGGTTTTCGCTGCAATTTATCTCCAAACACATCAAGGTCTCTGTGCCCGAGGTGCTGGACATTCTCAGTTTCCTCATCCTGGACAAAAAGCTCAACGCCAAGATCGACCAGGATAATGGGACGGTGGTAGTGGAGAGTGCGAGTGACGTGGAGCGGCTGCGAGCTGTGGGAGAGTGGAGCTCCGCGCTGCGCACCCTCTGGCAAACAACACTCAACGGTGAGGGGCTGCGGGCGAACGAACCCTCGCAAGGTTCGATTTTCCAATCGAGTCTTGGAGACGAGGGTATGCGACCCACGGCGCCCCGTGCACGCAAGGACGGGCGAGGCAAGATGCCTACCAAATGGTTGTTCTAGGCTTTTTCCAACGGTTGGTCTGTAAGCGCCCTTGGTTCCACGTGTGCATATATGGCTGAGCCGCGTGGAAAACAAAAAGAGAAGAACTCACCGTTTCTTTGTTCGGTTGAGTCCTGAGAAGCAGACCCGCTATTTAGAGTTGGTCTGACAGCGCTAAAATGACGATAAGATGAACTGTTTATGTTTATGGTATGTTTTATAGATGTAGGAGTAGGGTACTAGGGTACTAGGGTAGGTATACAATATATGTAGAATACTGTATGTTGCATGTTGTAAGTCTAAATCCCTTGGTAGTATAAAGTAAGTAGGAAGTTTAACCTTGGAACCCAGGACTGCCGTAAAATATATACATCAGATAAAACAGGCGAGATTACAATCGGAAAAAGAACACTCCGATACAAAGAAAGGTAAAATGCAAAGCAACGTAAGGCCAAAGACATGTGAACACATTTCCTTATCTCCTATAGGATTGCATGATAGATGTGCATCAGCTATGGGGCCCTTGTCCCGGGCAGTTCCCGATTTCTTTCATTCTCCAGATCGGGTCCGACGTTGGATGTAATTTTGTTCTGCCGGCATATGAGCTCTATCTGCGCCTGGGCCGGTAGGAATTGAAATCACATCGAAGAAATAGGAATAGCCTATCAAGGAATAGGTTTAGGGATAGGTTTAGGAATAGAATAGAATAGAATATCCGAGGGCAGGTCGGGTGATGGACAATTCAAGAATCAAGGCACAACCACCAACACAACTAACGACTCGGGTAAAATGATAGGATTACATAGAAAGAAAGAAAGAAAAAAAAAAAAAAAAACAAAACAAAACAAAAGCCAATGCCACCATCGCCGAAAATAACGAGGCAAGAAAAAGAAAGGAAAAGCAGAAAAAGCAAAAAGGCCGTTGCATCAAATCGGGGCGCTGCACCAATCACGAGCCCAACGAATTATCCCAGTCGCTCTGGAGATTTTCGCAAACCCCGCTTTTGGGGCCTTTTGCTTTTACCCTGGGTTTGTTGGCGTTTTTCCCTTTCGCTTGGGTTTTTTATTTCTTTTCTATGTTTTATATATGTTTTATGTATGCGTTGGGCGAGTCCGTGGAGAATGATAGAGCTCCGATTAGTCCGACGCTGCAATTGGGTGGATAATAAGTAGGGGGTGATACTAGGGATTTGATACAACATAGTTAAAATACTCAATAGTAGAAGGGTTGTGCATAGGCGTAGGCGTAGCTGGAAGTAGTTGAGATAGGAAGATATACGATATACGATATACGATATACGGATATATTTCTTCCTATTCGAGTAACTATATCTATATGTTTGTGGGGTATACTACCATCGTACAACCTAACTATGTACAACTTGTGTCCAACTTCATAAATTAAAATCCAAAATCCAGGGCGTTTACGCGAGTTGTTCAGCTCTTCTGTAGGCGGTGCATGTTACTTCGTTGTTTTCTTTTCTTTTTTCTTTTTGTTCTTTTCTTTCCTTTCTTCTTTTTATTTTTCTTCTTTTTATATTCCGAACTGACTTGGTTTTGGCTGCCATTCACCAATTATCCTCCTCTTTCTCTCTTCTGTCCCCGCAAAAACTCCCTTCTTCCCCCTAAATCTCTCCTCTTCCTCCAACTCCTCCAACTCGACCTGGAGAGAATCGATTCTCTACTCTTTCAGTCTTTCAGCGTTCTTCCAGCGTTGATCTTTCGGACTCGGTCGTGGCCCCTCCGTGATTATCTCATCTGCATCCTCAAAGGTGGGCACCTCCCCCGATCGCTCTCTTTCTTTTGTCATTGTGTGTCATACACACGCCCTTATTTCCATTCTGGGGACCATCTCCTCCATTTATAATTTCCCGGAATCCATATCCGCTCTGGAAACTCAGCTCCATCCCTGTCAAATCTCACTCGTGTGGTTCGTACACCCCCTCATTGAAGAGGGTCGCTTATAGCCTCTTGGCCCATGATCCTCCTGACATCATAGAACTCTGATTTCCCATGTGATTGTGATATTCCAAGTGGACGCTTCTGGGCTCTTCATCACAAAACTTCTTTGGCATCACAGGAGTCCTAGCGGCTTGTAGTACACCTTCCCTTGACCCGTCTTACTTCTTGTATCTTCCTATTCGTCCCTATTCGTCCCCCGGGTGCTCGTGGATTTGCATTCGACCCATCAATGGCTGCTCTGCATGTTTTGCGTCTGATCGTCATGCTGAGACTCTGATAGTAAAAGCCGATCCGCTATTCTGGGACACACTGTCGTACGAGCCAAAAGTGTGAAGCCGTATTTCGCCCGAATATTCCAAAGGAAATGTCCATTCGAGCTGTATGTCATCTTATTTTCTTATTTTTTTTTTCTCTCTTATTTTATTCTCTGTCATCTAACATCCTCAGACAACATTGA